TTAAAAAAAAAGGGAAGAGAGAAAAATGGATGGCGGATATTGATGTAGTCTAGTAGCCACCCTAACTCATTCAGTCTCCCTCATGGTGTTGTCAAGTTTTGTCGGTCGATCGGAAATAGCAATAGCGTTAGCCCACTTGGTGACAAAAAAAAAAGAAGCTCTTTCTACGTTATGTAATTTGATAGGGTTTGATTTTCATTCTTTGAGAAACTTCCAATTGGAAGAAGAAGAAGAAAAAAATATCATGCATAGTAATAATCAACCTATATATAATATAAGTTGTTTTCAAGCGTGCGGTATGGAAGTGGACAGTTGGTGCACAGTGAACTTAAATTGGGGGAAATGGGAAAATGTCGAACCAGAAATCGGCTGAGAGAGGAAAGTTTCAAAGCAAAGACGACAAAACGGTAGTGGAAAAGAGAAGACAAATTGAGCTTAGCTTTGCTTCTGGAAACAGGAAGGAATGAGGAATAATGTTGCCTCTGAATTAGGTAAGAAGGTTAATTGTGGGAGCAACGCGTGCTGGGCTAGGGTTCGAAGCTGCAAATCGCCGGTCCACAGCTCATCGGATTTAGATGGGAATCATTGGCGGGCAAGGTAATCTATTCTATGCCACTGTGTGCATATATTCTCGACGACGGCCGGTTTGGACTGATCGGAGTGGCGCCATTCGATCGCACGGTTGTGTGTGGGGAGTTTTTTTATTATAACAACTGATGCCGAAATCAAAGATGGTGCCCTACCCAAACGACAATTGTCAGGTCGGCATTGCATACTTCCAAATCCACTCTTTATGCACCAGCTAGAGGAGGAAGTGGTTATCCGGTTACAAACACTCATTTGTTAATTAAATATGTTTGAGTAGGTTGCAAAAGTCTACATGTGGAACATCTACTACACTCCGAGTTCAGAAATTTGAACCGCCCCACGGGTAATATCCGATCTAACCTACGGTGGGGGTGACTATTATTAGATCCAAAGTAGCGTGATTCGGGACATGAGTATCTACTTCCGACATATTTGTTCCACCATGGTCCGTTCTTGGCCATTTTACCTCAATTTCTTACACTTTCTATTCATATTTCTCTTATTTTGGCTTTTGTCAACCAGTTAGAATTGATCATTCAACTAGTTAGACTTAATTACACATTCCATTATCGATATTTTTCATTCATATAGTGTTTTCTCTTCGTTTTATTGGAAAAGGTAAATTTTTTTGTGTAGTTTTTTTTTTTTTTTTTTTGCAAATAACATGTAAGAGTGGGTCGACCCGTCGCGCCCGTACGTACCTGGGTATTACCCGCACCAACCAACAGTAGTGTGGGACGAGACATGAATATTGAAGTACGCACTACTATATGTCTATATCCCAAAGAAGGGGGATGACAATGTGATCCTGGCATATAAACCAAATTTTTTGAAGTTGTACTTTTGAAGCTACTGGGAATGAAAAAGCCTAATTTGAATTTTCCATGAAGAAAGAAGTTAATTAATATCATTGAGTGGAGTTAATATTTATCAACAAAAATCAAACGGAATATTTTCCTCCTAGGACTAAGAACTAAGAAGATAGTACCCAAAATTCGATAGGGTCTGCTGATCACTTGTTTAATACCAGTCAAACTCAATCCGTCGAGGTCAAATGCAGAAAAAATACAGTCAAACTCAAATCCCAAAACCCAAATATGCAGAGCACTACGTTGCAAGTAGCTAGAGATTGAGAATTGTAACTGAAAATTGTTTACTTTTGCCGTTTTGCTATCCACTCATGGCCACATTTCACCGGCCAGCCACTATTGAAAGTAGTGGATCATTGCTTGCTTAATACTCCAAAAATAAAATTTTCTCTTTCAAAGTTTTTCCTATAAAATTTAAGCCTCCGAGATAAAATAATAATGATGTTAATGTTCTATTGAAGATATTTAGATCGTCTAAGATAATTGAAACAAAAGGGTTTGTATAATAATAATAATGTGTGGACGGTTAGAAAATAGAAAGAAAAAATTACATGTATTAGCACGAAGTTATAGTTGAACAAAATCAATTAGTATTGCAATTCAATGGTGATGAGTTTGAGTCATGACCACTCCATGTCAAGAATGACAATTCTACCATAACTATAAAGACCTGATTCCTCTAATCCGATGAACAAGGGAAATTCGCGCAATACTATAGATGGGGCAAATAGTGAGAAATCCCGCAAAGAATATATTGGGGATGAGTTTAGTTGCCCTTGCCTCATCCTCATCCACATACTCTTACTCGCCTCGCACCAATTTCCATAATTTAGAGTTCAGAATTTCAAAGGAAAACAACCCTATTTTCATTGATTTCACTTTTCCAATTGTGTCAATAAATGTATCCCACCTCTTAAACCTAATTCACCATAAAAGTTTTTAATTTGTTATGTTTCTTGTGCTATTTGGGATTAGTTCATGATATGATGTTTATCCATCATTCGAACTCTACAATATTTTCAACTAAAACCACATGGAATTTAATATGACTTGCAGTACATAATGATTTTAAAGCGGTGTTTATGAAACCGTACAGACAATCCAATCGGAAAAATTTGCTGTCAAAGTCTAAATTGACAAGTAATTTGTAGTGGTATATAACGATTGAATCACGATTAAAAGAGGACTTCAACACAAGATACCCTAATGTTAAACTTCTTCCACCAAATGATCCTCTTCATGTTGAAAATTGCTATCTTCCATTTAACCTAATAATGAGTTATCAGATAATCATATTTTAGATTTTGAACCTCAACTATATTATTATATATATGATTTGGAGAAATACTACAAGTTTTTCTAGAATCAAATAGAATTCCTTAACTTTTCAAAACCATGGTCATCAACAGAAGCAGGTACCGTTGTTGCTACTAGTATGCTCTACAAGTTTTGAATGGACATTTGCAATCAACTATGTAAAAACACATTTCACTTTGATGAACTAATAAAATCATAGATGAGTATTTTATAGAATATAACAAGATTGATATCATATGAATGTGTCTTACAAAAATATGTTATTGAACACTATAAAGTTTATAAAAAAATTATCTTACGGTATTTTGTTTTAAGGGTAAATACAATTTAATATCCAAACCTTTCATTTTAAACAATATAATAGCCAAACCTTTTCGAAAACAATCTAATATCCAAATCGTCAACTTTCCGTCCGTTTGACCGTTGGTTGACACTTCAAAAAAACATTGTTTAGGGGAAATTGTCACAATACAACTTTGTTTTCTTGTTTTGGCACTGAAGATGACTGAATATTTAGAAATTCTATACCATCATGGTGGAGTCATGAACTTCACGGGTTTGGAACCACGATATGTTGGTGGTTTTTCATAGAAGATATCGATGAATATTGATGAAGCGTCGTACTTCGAACTTTTTTGAAGTGTCAACTAACGGTCAAACGAACGGAAAGTTGACGATTTGGATATTAGATTGTTTTCGAAAAAGTTTGGCTATTATATTGTTTAAAATGAAAGGTTTGGATATTAAATTGTATTTACCATTGTTTTAAATTCGGTACAATTTATTAAGGGTGGCTATTTAGTCCGGGCTTTTGGGTTTACCCAAAAGCAGACTGTATAACCCGGACCGAGACTGGACCAGATAGCAAACAATCCAATCCCATATTCGGGCCTAGATTTGAGGTAAAAAAAAACATTCCGGACCGAAAAATCGGAGAAATACCGGATAAGAGAGTCCAACACCCAAAATTTAACCTTCTCACCCTTTCGAGCCTCAGGCCACTCAAATCCCCACTTGCTCAATCTAAAATCAAGACTAAATTAGGACCGAACCGATTCAAGACCGGACTGTATCCAATCCAATCTTTAGTCTTTATATTCTCGAAAAGACCGGACTGGAACCAGATCAATTCTGGTCAATTTAACTGGACAGTATAGCTACCCCTACAATTTACATAAAATGCTAGCTATGCCACTCGTTGCAACCAGCCCTTCACCTGCTATAAATAAGCAATGATTGCAAGACTTTTGCGGAAGTTCTACTGGAAAAGTTACCGATAAGATATTTTATTTTGAAACTGTGGTTTAACTATGATTCAACCGTTCCATATAACTAAATACCACCTACCGATTTAGAATCCAATAAAAAAAATATAGTCAAACCGGTATGTAACATTGTTCATTGTAAATAACAACTAATTGCGAAACCGATAAAACTTTTGCAAGCACAATTTTTCGGTGGTTTCGTCCACAGCTTTAACTGGCCCCTTAATCCCGCTCTTGGAAATATGGGTACTGTCCAAGACGGGATTTTGTCCTTACTTTTGAGACATCAAAAATTCGAAACCACCCCCCTCATTTGACAACCTTAATCAACCAATTAATTATACCAACACATGTAAATTAATATTAATTATACCATCTCTATCGTCAACCGGCTTCAGGTTTTTAATTTTATTTCCCCCAGGAACTTTACCGGAAAATCAAACAAGAGTTTTTGCTTCAGTTTCACAATACACATTAAAACCCAGATAATATTGATTACCTCGTTAATCAATTCTTCAAATTTCCATATCAGGATATCTCAAAGCTTCCATGCCTCTCAGTTCCAGGGCATCCAATTCCATTCTTCTTTCTTCTCCTCATCCTCCTCTCCATCCTTCATATTTTCTTTCCTTTTTTGGGGGCCTTTCCTACTCACTTTGCCTCCCCTTTTTGCCCCTTTATTGCAATTGGACCTTAGAGGAGCAGCAGGCCGGCCACTACAGTCCATCCACAAAGAAGAGGGAGGGACTGTGCGTGTGGAGAGAAATTCAAAGCTGTCACCTTTTCAGGCTTAGTGGCTTCGAGACTAGAGTCTCCCCACTTCTGCTATAAAACCCTCCCTCCCTCCCCCTTCCTCTAAAACCTCCCCTCCTCACCCTCTCCATTTCTGCTCCCAAAGTTCCATTCTTTCCCTCCTTCCCACTCTTCCCCTTTTTCTCAGAGACCAAACAGGCCCATCATAATGTGCCAGCAGCAAGTCTCCCTTCCCCTCAGCCAGGGAGATGACCACCAAGCCCAATGCTGCTGCCCACAATCTTACCTTGTCACCATCAAACACCAACAGCAACAACAACCCAACAACATGTCCACACCATTGATCTCCAAAACCCCAACAACATCAGATACTGATGCAACTACCACTAAATCAGCAACAAGAGCACCCATTGTGGCAGAGGCAATCTCCATAGCCAGAATAGCCTTCCCCATGATCCTTACCGGGCTACTGCTCTACTCCCGGTCCATGATCTCCATGCTCTTCCTGGGCCGACTAGGAGAGCTCTCCTTAGCTGGGGGATCGCTCGCTCTAGGTTTCGCCAACATTACCGGCTACTCGATCCTGTCTGGCTTAGCTATGGGGATGGAGCCTATCTGTGGCCAAGCCTTTGGTGCACAGAAGCACCATCTCCTCGGCCTCACTCTGCAACGAGCGGTCCTGCTCCTGCTCCTAACTTCCTTGCCCATCACTTTCCTGTGGCTGAACATGAAATCAATCCTGTTATTCTGCGGGCAGGATTTGGAAATCGCCTCGAAAGCGCAATTGTACCTAATTTACTCTGTTCCTGACCTTTTAGCCCAATCTTTCCTCCACCCACTGAGAATCTACCTCAGAGCTCAATCCATCACCTTACCTTTAACATTCTGCGCCACCATTTCCATTCTCCTGCACATACCAATCAACTATTACCTCGTTACCCACCTCAATTTGGGGATCAAGGGCGTCGCGTTGAGTGGGGTTTGGACCAATTTCAACCTCGTCGCTTCCCTGATCCTCTACATCATCTTCTCCGGAGTCCACAAGAAGACCTGGGGCGGATTCTCCCTCGAATGCTTCAGAGAGTGGAAGTCGCTCCTCGATTTGGCGATCCCCAGCTGCGTCTCCGTCTGCCTCGAGTGGTGGTGGTACGAGATCATGATCCTCCTCTGCGGTCTGCTGATAAACCCTAGAGCGACCATCGCCTCCATGGGGATTCTGATCCAGACCACCTCGCTAATCTACATCTTCCCTTCTTCCCTGAGCTTCAGCGTCTCGACGAGGGTCGGGAACGAATTGGGCGCGAATCGGCCGGGGAAGGCGAAGACGGCCGCCGTCGTGGGGCTCTGCTCGAGCTTCTTCCTCGGGTTCACGGCGCTGAGCTTCGCCATTACCGTGAGGAAAATCTGGGCGACGATGTTCACCGACGACGAAGAGATTGTGGCGCTGACGGCGATGGTTCTGCCGATCATCGGGCTGTGCGAGCTGGGGAACTGCCCGCAGACGACCGGGTGCGGGGTTCTGAGAGGGACGGCGAGGCCGAGGATTGGGGCGAATATCAATTTGGGGTGTTTTTACCTGGTCGGGACGCCGGTCGCGGTTTGGTTGGCGTTTTGGGCCGGGTTCGACTTCCAAGGGCTGTGGCTCGGGTTGCTGGCGGCCCAAGGGTCGTGCGCACTGACCATGCTGGTGGTCTTGGGTCGGACCGATTGGGAAGGGGAGGCACGGAGGGCCCAAAAGCTGACAGGGGATTTGGCTCGTCATCATGATGACGTGGAGGATCAGGAGGAGGATGATATGATTAAGAACAAGGATTTGGGTACTAATAAGGATAATAATAACGCTGAAATCAAGGAGGATTGTTCACATTCTTTTGGGGGAGGTGGTGACCAGTTGGATAGGCAATATTCAATTGTTTAGTCCATCTACAAATAATTTTTTTTTGGTTTCTTCTTTGATATATTTATTTTTTGTTTTACAAAGATAACAAAGTTTATATAGATAGAAATTACCGTAATGAAAATTCGAACCCGATTCAAATCTTTTTCTTTTTTATAATGAGGGATCTTTTGTGTCGAAGTTAAGGTATCGATCCAATTATTGTGACATGAGTTGTGGTACACGAGTTCCATATTTGGCACCTCTTATGCATAATAGTTTTTTCTCCTCTTCGTAATAGTGACATTGAATAATGAACCAAAAATCATTTACTTAAAAAAAATGGTAAATATCTTTACAATTATTATGGTGGCATCAGTGACAGATGACTTGATTGCAAGTTCGCTCGCCAAGCTACATTTTTTACTACATTGTTGTTAACAGAACAATTTCTCAGCATGCAATAACCTGTTTCTCAAGGATTGTTAAGACAATTTACTTGCACCGTATTATGAGGGGTTAGATCATCATTTATTATATGAGATATTTTGAGATAAACCTAAATATTAGAAGGATGTCATATGTATCGAGTTCGTTGTGTGCTGCAAAATCTCTTTCTTTGTAATCACAGTCTAATTAATTACCAAAATACGAGGATATTTGTGATGCTTTTTGTTGTTTTCTCTTTACTGGTTTGCTTTTTGTTTGTGTTATACACTTTGATCATGGGAGGGAGACAGGTTACTTATAAGTTGGTTACATATACTTACATATGCTGATGATATTGGCCCATGAAAGTGGTCATCATCTACTTATCCTCAAAGAGGGGAACAAAAACAAATTCTGTTTCCCCACATTTCCTTTTCTTTTCCTTTTTGTTTGCTTTTCCCCAATAAAATTCTCTGTTGGGAAGTTTTAAGCTGACTCCTAAGATGATGCCCACCTTCAATTGTTTTTCTTTGTGCCCTTACATTGAGTTAAAGGTTGTATTCAATAAGTCTCTCTCTTTTGATCAAGAAATAAAAATAAAAAGATTTCTCTTTCCTAGTTTCCTTTGAAAATTACTTATAGTCATGTATAAGGAAATCTACACTCACAATTGTTCTTTTTAACTAAACACCTGTAAATCAGACGCAAAGAATTTTCACCTTTAAAAAGTAATATCACCAAGATGATTGTCGAAATGGTTGAACCACGAAAATATCGCATCTAGGTGGTCTCTGGCGCAAACCAACTATTCTCAATAGTTTAAGTTGCTCGGAGAGGTCAATTATGGACTTATGGTACTTAATCACTTTCATACACGCCCCTCAAACGAAAGCCGATTTAGGCTTGACATTTGCACAAGCCTCCACTTACCATGTGTTTTTAGAATAATGATTAATATTCAGATCGTGAGGACTTTAACACATGATCTAAAAAACAAAACAGCTTTGATACCATGTCTCAAATCAACTGATCACATACTTAACAACTTCCTTACTGTCCCCCCCACCAAAACTTATATCTATTGCTTAATCCTAATTTTTTCATTTTGTACCAGAACTTGGACGATTAGCCATTGAGTCATTACCATTTTGTTAGCTAGGAAGATTTGGGTTAATGATTAACAGAGATCTTGCTTCAGATTTAATCTTGGGCACCGCCTGCACTAACTATATCTAGAGAGAAATAATATACTACTCATTTGCATCGAATGCCAGATAGATAATGGTGTGGGCCGCAGCATCGAATTTGCATGCATGCGCTGATTGATCAGTTTTCCTTTCTGGCCCAATATATACATATCGATCGAAGCCAATTGGCATATAATTATCACCTTCTTTTTCCTTTCTGTTGAGCCTCCCTCGCCCCTTTTGGGACAGCATTTTTCTTATCTGTTGCAATCACACCAGCTAGCTTCAGGCTGGCACAGTCTTGTTATTCCTGGCCTTGGCCCCCGATATGGGTTCCTAATTAAGAGCAATGAATACTACATAAACTTTCCAAAAAAAAAAAACTGATTTGTCTATGTATAACTTGGGTTGATGTGGTACCACACATTAGTGATGTAAAGAAGTGGTTAAAATTTATGTAAAAACCCCTCTTAACAATTCGAATTATTGGAACCAACTGGCGGATTTAGAGATGATGTTATCGGTGGCACAGTTGCGAGCTTTTTTCGCGGTGGAGAATTGTATTTATAGAATGGGTATATTCACGGGTTGGATTGAATTATATGACGTGATGGGTATTATCATGACATGACGAGTCGGGTTTTATTTTTCTCTGGTTAAATTTGGATGACTTCGCATTTTCGTCAGCCACGTCATAATAAGCCTGACAACTTTATCAAAATTTGGCGGAAGTTAACGCCCAATGACCCAAATTGAAATGTTGAACTAATTATAGTGAATACTAATAAAATTAAAAAAAAATTATTGTTCAACGTGAAGTTAATTAGTTTTCTTAGTAACAAACATGATGTTTAGGCGAAAATCGAGAAGTAGGAGTTTCTGCGACCAGATAATTGTCCACTTACTTTTTATTTGGTTAATTCCAAATCGAATTTTTCAAATAGATATTTAATTGGAATAATGTAAAATAGGTAAAGTTGGCGCGTCTATCGCTTACATTTCGTTCTTTCGCGGAGTTTTTCGTTGATACACACGTACAAATATGTCATAATAGATTCAAACACTTGCCTCGGATAGACTTCCAATCCATATCATAATTGTTCTGCCCAACTATCCTCAACAACAATTATGAGATTAAGTCGGGAATGATTTCTATGCTTAAAAATCTTGGACGTGTAAGGATCTGAGTTCGACCCTCGAGGTCATATGAAAGAACAAAGGATAATGCATGGCGGCAAAAAAATATGTATTAATACTATACAATGCTCGAATTTGACTAGGTTGGACAACGTAAGTGAGTTCGTTGACATTGGTGATTTTTATTAATATCTTGAATTCTTCTAAGATTATTTCGCAAAATTAATTTAAGAGTAATTAACAAACGCATTGGATGAGATATGATATACTTGTAAAAAAAAAGGATTATATATGATATCTATAAGGATTCTAATTGATACCCCATAGCTGGATCCTAAGGTTATTCATCATTATTATTTTACTATTATTATTATTATTATTATTATAAAATTTTAAATTATTTCTTTAATTTTTGTATTGTAAACTCTGCAGAATGGTGGTTAGAAAAGACTAATTAAATTTAATATCTAGGAGGGCTGTCTGTCGGTTGTTCGCCCACTAACATCTATGACGTGCCGCCGTGGCAAGCGGCGGCCGGCCGGCTCTCCTTTTCCTCCTTCCATCGGCTAATGGACAGGGACCAGATTTACACCTCAAGCTTTGATGTTCCCTTAGCTTAGCTTTGACACGATCCCTAGCTATAGCTAGCTGCTAAGCTCTTCCCGATCGCAGATACAATAAAGAATACATCCAAAAATAACGCGTTGCTCAAGAAGGATGGAGCCGTAAAGCCAACTGGGAACTTTACCCATGACTGGGAAATCTTTGGCTACAAGGATAGAGATAGCATGATATCTGTAATGCGCCTGTTGCTTAGCAATATGATTCCCTCGACTTGCCATATGTCAATATGTATAGATTTTTACAACGGTAGCAAAGCAACCAAAATCTCGATTTAAATTTTAAAATCTTATGAAATTACGATTTCATTTACTTATTTCGATCTTGATTTCACTACAAAATTATAAACCTCAAAATCATACACTATTCACGATTTAAATCATTAAAATCTTACGATTTACAATTCAAATCTTTGGGTTAATTTTAGTTATCTTCCAGGGAATTCGCAAATGATGCCTCTTTTCCTTCTCCTCCACCAACATCATCTAGTTCTCTCAGAGTAACCAACATCGGTCATCATCAATTCACATCAACATATTAATCATTATCCATTCACCGCTTCCCAACCTTAACCTTGATAAATTGGAACATTAACCTTGAGAAATTATAATTGTACGTGTTATGTTTTTTTTTTTGTTATTCATGATTTTTCTTATTAATATTATTCCGACATTGTTTTATATAGACATTAAAATCCTATAATTTTACGATTCAATTTTACGATTATGATTTTACACCCATTTTTTATTTTACGTAAAATCCCAATTTGACAGCTACAAACGGTAGAACTCACAACCATTTGAATTATGGGACTAACAGGTCATTGACATATAAGGGAAGGATACAATGTTCATATATAGACATCTTAGTAATTTGTGCAAGTTACTATAAGATCAATACGGTGTTATAACATGGTACATTGAGCTTTTTGACCAAGATATCTCATACTCGAATCTCAGCGACATCTAATACTAACATTTAATATAAGCCCGAGATATGGTGGATTATGAAAGTTAAACCCATAAATTGAACTTCATTTTAGAAAGGGCATGTAAGAGAATGATATAAAATCATACATGAACCTCTATTAACAAACATGAGTTTTTTTTTATAAAGACGAAAGATTTTATTCAAACTCACAATAAAAGCTTTACAAGAGATGATTCATTAGAAATGCCAAACACGGATCGCAAGACATGATCCACAAAATGGCAGGAGTGAAAAAGTATAAGAAAGAGGTTGGGTTTTTTTTTTATTGAATGGAGGCAAACCGCCAACCTTACATACTCCTAATGGCTAGGAGCAGAGACAGGCAACAAACCAGAATGGAACAGGGGATCATAGAAGAAACAGAGAATCCCAATCTAATCATCACTAGTTCGGATCACTTGCCTAGGAAAGCTAACTCCAATTATGTCCTCCTGGCAGATTCTGTTGAGTTCTAATGGGGTCAATTAATTCATACGTATCGAAGGGATAGACGAGACTGTGCTTCGAGAGCCATTCCGCGATTCTATTCCTTTCGCGATAAGTATGAACCAATCTCACAACCCATTCTCTAGCCGAAGCTCGTCTGATTGATCCAAGGATCGTGGCATAAGGATGCACTCTATCGTTTCTCTTCTCAATGATTTGTAAAGCCAATTTCGAGTCCGTTTCTAGAATGAG